CCCCAAAACCCCAAAACCCCAAAACCCCAAAACCCCAAAACCCCACGTACAGCTTATAAGTAGAAGATTTGTAATTAAATAAGTTTACAATTAAGAATTTAATATGGATACTTTTTCAGGTAAATACTGAAGCTCTGCTTGTATTATCCCATAATCCTAATTGAGCCAAAGGCTTACTATACTTCTGGTTAAAATTTTGGAAGCTATGATTGTGCTTCAGTTATCTTTATAATATGATATTGTTAGCAGAATAGATCTTTGCTTCTTATTTACTATCATGAAATCTGACTTATGTATAGCAAAATATCAAGGATATTATCTTCCAATGACAGCAAATTCCCCTCTGGCTTCTCTGAATGAAATCTCAAGAAGTCTTACAGTTCACGGAGATGTTCAAACTCTTCTTCAAGCTTACTGAATTTGTGATATTCCAAATACACTTAGCGCGCAAAAAGAAAGAAACACAGACAGGCCTTATGTTCACCCTGAACTAGATTCGAAGGTAACTATAGTCTTCACACAGAAAATGAGTTTACTTTTATCAGTCTTGATATCTGCTCACCTACAGTTTCAAATAACTTTACTACTCAAATGCCAAATCTTATTATTCCTAAAATAGTAAAGCATCATTTATACGTCTTCTCATTTTGATAAAACCTCTATCCATTTTTGTCAAAGTTAAAGGTTTATTTCAAACTGGTTACATTTCTGAATCTTCTCCTTCTATTTTGAACCCCTGTGTTTTTTACACTTCTGATTAATAATCTAGAACCGATTAGGGTGATTAATTTTGCTAATTCTTCTGAAGCCTCTTTTTAAAGGCTTCTATATCAATTTACTTCAAAGTTTTCTGAAAAAGTTAACTAAAATTATTATTTTTCGCCAAAAGCTTTACTTATTTTAAGAATAGTGTTTTGACTATTTCTAACACTATCCTAAAATATCAACCACTTTCTAATGTCAGATAATCCTAAACCTCCTTAGTCACCAAATTATGTATAACATTTGTCTTGAACCATCTTAGTGGTCACCAGTCGGCTAATTATTATGGGCGGCCTAGCTTTCTAGAATTGGCAAGATACACATTTTATAGCATTCGTAGAAGTTTTATTTCAAGACCAGATTTTCATATGAGAATTCTACTATTTATGTCTTCTCTGAAATAAATCTGAGAAACCTATTTTTCATATTTTTGGGGCTAAGCAAGCCCCAAATGTTCTTCTTAGAAGTTCTTTGCATAATAAAAGAGTTTACCTTTTGAGGATACATTGGTATTAGATTTATGAAAGAACAGTTTACCTGAACTAAATCGAGTTCGACAAGATAAGGAGTTGGCATAGCAGATATTTTCAGTGAAGGATACTTAAGGAAAGCTTACTTATCATTAGAAGACGATCTACACAATCTATGCTAACATAGCACTTTCAGGAGTTATTTTCCATTTGAATTTCACAGATCAATAAGCTGCTATTATTAAATTCAGAAAATGTTTGGAGAGTCCTAAAAATTGGTTTATCAATCAATTCTATAGCTTGCAAGATGTTTTTATTCTTTTTTTGCAATGAAAGTAATTTATTCAATTAGAAATAGCTATAAAGATTAGGCTCTTTTATTGCTTATCTCTTTAGCTAAAGTTATTAAAAATACGAAAGAAAATTTCATTGGTTCTTCTAACCATAACTTATCAGAGCTACTCCTTGTACTAAGTTAACTCTAGCTTCTTTTAAAGACCTAGTTATTTACAATAGGGAGGAATTTGAATTTTTATTGTTTGAAGGTATAAAAGGATCTGCCTTTCCAGGATGATATTTTATAATCAGAGAACAAACAAATACTTGGAGTCTTTCATTATAGAGCCAATATGAAAATACTATGAAATGTTTAGCTTATTATTCAAGTCCCTTAGAGTCTTTCATCTCTGAGGAGGGTCCAGAAGATATCTCAGTTTATGCAAGTTTTCTTAAAATTGATAAAGTTATTTCTCTATTTAATCCTTATCTATGAAAGATGTCAATAGCTCCAAACTCTGAATTAACTTAAAAAGGGCTAGTCACTTCAGTTTTAAGGCTAATCAAACCCACTCCTTGTTAGTAGTTCTTCTTCTTTCAGTTCCTAACAATGGCTGAAATTTTTGTGATTTAAAATACGGTTTATTTATTTTGTTCTATTCACTGACGTAACCTTGCTGGATAGGTTAAAATTTGCAATTATATGCATCTGTCTATTGTTAATTTTCTTAGCAATAATTATGATAATAATAAGAGTTTAAAAGCCCAGATTAGGAATAACTGAGCTGTCATAGTGCTTGATATAGGAAAATTTAATAATGTAGTTTAATAGATCTCATATAGCAATCAAAAGGCCTTAAATTAATAGCTAGTCAGTGTTATCTTGGTAACTAAGCCTGGTCTGAATTCTGAACAATAAATCGTCCTCTATTATCGCGATAATGTCGGCTTTTCAAACCCTTTGCTCTAATGTTTGTTAGACTAATTCATAATTTCTGTTCAAACTTCAAGTAAGTTGATAAACTGAATAGGAAATTTAGACTATGCTCATTGCAAGTTTATTTCTTTAATAATATATCTAGTTTTGCTTCACAAATAGTACCTATAGCAAAAGGGTCTGTTTACGCAGTACTAGCGATTTTTATAGCTTTATTCGAAAACAAACCTATCAGCTAACTCTATTTAGATATGATTTTTCTTAAAAATCTAATTTAAGCATCTAGGTCTATAACCTTCTGTTTATTATTGCTAAAACTTTGCAATGAGTTTGTTTCCTACTAGCAACTATTTCCTCAGTTTCATTTCTTCTTCCAAAAAATATGAATAATTCTTAAAATTAACAGTAGAACTCAGATAATATTTTAACTGTCTTTCGCTAATCTTGCTTAAGTCTAATCCAGAACTGATATCTAGGTATTTCTCTTTTACTTAAAGGACTCGATAAGAACTGTTTGAATCTCTCACTATATTTCTTACCCTACTCTGTAGGTAGCTCCATTTTAATGACCATCAAATTCTAGTCTGAAAGCTGATAGTAAAAATAAGTTTGATGGCTTTGTATAACTCTTCATGCCTCTCTTAGTTTGTATTTCTAATAAAAGATATTTAATTTGAGTATCCTAATACATTTTGCTCAGAAAAGTTTGGAGATACCAACCGCTTTCTATGATAAACTAGAATAAAGTACTTTCAAATTATCGTCTTCCTCGACTGATAGTTTATCAGAGTGCTTGAAATACTACCTTTGGGTTCTTTCTAGCAAGCTAGTAATAATTAGAATATTTCCTAGAGGCCGTTAAACTAAGTTATTATTAAGCTAGGAGAATAAAATAGACTTTTAAGTTATTTGGGTAAAACTCATATTTTCAGCTGATTTTTCTAAACACAAATAAGAATCAGTATTTCTATATTTCTGCATTATAAATGGGTTCATTTAATGCTGAAATTTATAAAAATATCAGAATTAGTGTTATTTTTAATGCATTTCAACGTATCCTTAATTATTTTCTAGAAATTAGAGCAAAACAGAGTTGACCCTAAAATACTATCAATGTATAGGAATGTGAGAGACAACAAATCCAACAGTAAGCATTATTTTTATGCCAAATTAATGTTATAATTTCATAAGACTTGCCTAACGTTTGAATTCAGCTATAAACCCAAGAGCAGAGAAAATTTTTATGTGTTCATTTGGAAGCTGTAGAAAAATATTCTACAAGAAGTGGAACTTCAGCCTGCACATGAAGATGCACTATAAAATCAAGCAGTTCAAATGCCAGATATGCTCTAAAGAGTTCACTCAGAAGTGTAATTATAACAAGCATATGAAGACCCATGATTCATTTAAATAGTTTGGTCATAAATATTTTCTAATGAATCTTCTTTTACTTTTTGCTAGAAAATTTGGAGAATTTGCTCTAAGTTAATTCATCCCTTCTCCAAAGAAGACGTGAATTTCCTCAATTGAAGCAGATAAGTCCTTGATTTAAAAATTTGAATCAAAATTTTAAGTCCCTATTTACTTTCAGGTAGACTCAAGAAAAGCTGAGATGAAGTCTGATTACTTTTTAAGGTTTAAATTTAACAGAGAGCTTAAATTTGTCTCTTCTAGTGCAAAACTGTCAGCTAAATTCAAATATCTTAGATTTGGTTTATGATGTACGATGATTCCATACACCTTTATTCCTAGCTAAGACCTGGGAGCAAGGATCCTCTTTATGCTCACTTTAATAAATTAGAAATTCTGATAAATTTTTGATTCATTGATATTAGGCTTTGTTGGTGAACTCTTTAGTTTTAAGCATCGAGGGATTAGAAATTTATCTGAAACCTCTGTGGGGAAATCGAACACTTTTATTCCCCATTTCATTTACAAGTCTGGTGAACAGCAAAAAAAATGTATATGATTAACTAAATATGCTCGGAAAAATCATGTAAGGTATGGCGCAAAATATTCTAAACTTGCGAGATTTCTCTTTAGCTCATAATCTACCTCGCTTTGAAGCACAATAAACTAGGCTGGCTTAATAATTTCTGAATTTATTGCATCTTTGCTTTCATTGCTTCCAAATTGATTTAATTTAGTGGCGATACGAGCCATGTACATTTAACAAGAAACGTTGCTCTAATTAGTTATTGTATCTTCCATTAAGTGTCAAAGAAAGATAAATACTTTTGACATTCTGGGAAAGAGAAAATGAAGGTAGCACAAGATCTTTAAATAATTTTTGCATTTTCCTCATTTCAGGAGCTTATTTAAACAGATTAACATGCTAGAAGCTTTCTCCTTTCTTCTTATTAAAAAATCTGTCATTATCATGGCACATTGAAGCTTCAAACGGGAGTATTTTAACTGAGTATTTATAAGGATGAAGATTATTAAATAAGTTTAAAGGCTTTTAGCTCTGTCTAGATCAGCGGGATAAATTTAAAAACTCCTGTAATCATAGTTTGAGAAAGTTGTAGCACCAAGGTCTCATCATTCACTATCTTTTTAAGCGACTTTAATAATATTTCTAACCCTTTAAAAGAGTTTGGAGGAGTTTATTTAGCTTCTGGCAATTTTTTCTAAAGAAAAAATCTCAAAAATGAGATTTCTTCTATTATTCTAGAAGTATTTAGGTGCAGAACTAATGTAAACTTGGGAAAGTTTAAAATGGCTAGAAGAGTAATCCATTTATGATACAAGTGTTTCAATTCGTATAATTTAGTTTGGGGTTTTGGGGTTTTGGGGTTTTGGGGTTTTGGGGTTTTGGGG